ATAGGTCATGTGTTTATCTTATCACTGAATCACTAGAAAGGCAATGGAAAAGCAACGGCAATTAGAATTGTTTATTAAAGGCAGGAGAGATACTGAACAGAAACCAAGGAACCGCTTTGCTGTAATCCCTTATTTTTATGACATCTCTCACAACCTGGAGGCATGTGCGAGGCAGTTTGGAGTAGACACTGTCTTTAGTTCGGATTTCAGATTAAGTAAACTGACGCCATTTCAATCAGGTGTGAGCGACTGCAAAAAGGCTCATCGGGAAAAACCCGTATGTTTCAAGACTGGGGTTGAGTATGAGATACCATTAGAGTGTGGATTCAAGTTTGTAGGACCGAAGTCACGCTGCATAAATGAAATATTAAACTAACATAAAAGAAATGTAAAGAACAATGCAGAAAACTCGGAAATAGCCAAACATATTCATGAATGTAACAACTGCACGGCGCTCTGGTCGGAGACGGAAATAATACGCAAAGAGAGGAACGATGTAAAGAGAGTAGTAAGGGAGACCGTGCGGACAAAGTCACTAGGCAACTGCATAAGTCAGGCTTCGCTACAGTTTGGAAGAACTCAAAAAGCTTTCTAAAAGTGTAAACATTTTTTTTTGTTATTTAGGTTGTTTTAAGTGCTTGTGATTTTCCAAAAAACCGTACAAACTTTTTTTTTGTGGATCTCCACGTGTATTGGCCCTACTATCGTTTCAGTGTTCCTTTTTTTCCCCTTTTTTTGTAAAGAGGGCATGTTACGATTCAGAAGTATGAACTGTGTATAGAATAATAGGGGAAGAGATCCTTTTGTTCAAGTTCAGGGTGGGTGGATGTTGCCTTATCGCGTCGACCTGTAAATGTTGTCAACGTTCTTGCATTGTGTGATGAAGGCTGTGACGCTTGATCTGTATAACTTTGTCCTTTTGTGTTGGTAGAGATGACCTTGAGATTGAGACTACATAAGGAGGTGGACTAAAGAAATGAGTTAGCTGAGTTTGAGACGTCGTCCTGTCTGTTTTCTGTCCCTTCTACGTTTTGATGTTTCTTCTCTACCCCACTCTCAGGTTAATTCAACATGATTAATATTCACCAGCTCGCCTGCACCCTCACGATTTTTTTTATAATCATCCTTTCGAAGGTCGCTGGGACATTGCACAGACCCAACGGCATTACGTTGAAATGGTCGAGGCCGTCAGGTGTGACGAACGCTGTTTTAGGTTTGTCAGCATCAGCGACCGGTATTTGCCAGTAGTCAGTCCGGAGATCCATCGATGAAAAGAAGGATGACCCTTGGAATGCTTCTAGGGTGTCGTGGATCCTGGGCAGCGGGTAGACATCTTTCCTGGTTACTTTATTCAGACGGCGGTAGTCTACGCAGAAGCTCCAGGAGCTATCCTTCTTTTTTACGAGGACGACGGGTGACGACCAAGGGCTAAAGGAAGGCTGGATGACTTTCTTCTCCAACATTTCGGTGACGTGCTGTTGGATCACTTTGCGCTCTGTGGGTGAAATTCGGTATGGTCTGCTTTTCAGTGGGCGTGCCTCTCCAGTGTGAATGTGATGATGGACAACGGATGTTTGAGCAAGGGCTTCGCTGCTGAAGTCAAATATATCAGAATAAGCTTTAAGCAGGGTGACTAAATGATGTTGGTCCTCGGGAGGCAAACTAGCGTCCACCATCCTTGTAAAGTTGTCACTCATTTCGCGTGCAGAACCGGGTAGACAAGTAGGGGGGTACAAAAGTTCCGAAAGAGTGGCAATGTGGTGTTCCTGATACATGGTCATATTGGCGACAGGAGTGTTCCGGGGAAGTATTTGCGACTCCGTAGATGCGTTGGTGAGACAAAGACAAACGCTGCCTTCTACTAGGGACACGATGGAGTATGGGGCGACAATACTTTCCTTCGCAAATAGTGATTCAACAGGTTCCACTAGTCCAGAGGTGCCTATAAACGACGGGTCGGCTGTGAGCGCTACGGCAACGGCAAATAGTGGTGGCAAAAGAAGGTCGTCGTTGTGCGAAGGGTCATGTTTTTCGAATGGGAGTGATCAGCGACGGGGTCGATGCAGCTCAGGTCTAGTTCGCCTCTAGCGCAGTTTATGAAGGCGTCTGTGGACGTCGAAAAATCCCAGCCTAAAATAACGTCAGCGACGCAGTTGGAAACGACGAGGAATACCACAATATAGGATAAGTCTGCAATGAGAATGGACACTGATGCAGATCCGAGAGGTTGCACCAATTTGCCGTTACCCATGCGCAATAGGTGTCCGTTGGCTGGAGTAATTACCTTACGTAAGCGGCGGCAGACATTGTCTGATATGCATGATTTGGCGGCTCCTGTGTTGACCAAGGCGGCGCATGTTTGTCCTGCAATATGAACGTTGAGTGCCGTCCGTCCAATAAAAGGAGGATTTTCGGCAACTTCTGGCAGTGCAGCCTGACCACCGGTGGCACCACAGGCTGCCCTCCTTAGTTTGACGACGGCGTCGACGCTGCGGCTGCGTGGTTGAAGGGTGACACTGATCGGCGGCGTCTGGGGTACGGCGAGGGTGATCGGCCGCGGGGGTCTTGAGGTGTTTGTGAATCGATTGCAGAGCGGCGTGCGTCGGAGGAGCGGCTGTCGTCAAAATCTCTCGAATAGAGAGACGGATTGCCAGGTGCATGATAATAGGCGTTATTATTAATTCGTCGACGGCAGTAACGGGCGATGTGACCAGCTGTGTGACAATAGAAGCACACCGGGCGCTGGTCGTCTGTTCTCCAAATATCGGTGCGTCGCTGTTGTCCTTAAATTCGTCGGGGGGGTTGAGGGCGGTGTAGGAAGGACGTCTGGTAGCGGGGTTGCGTGTCACACAGCATTGGGCAGCAGGGTGTGAGTGCTGGTGGTGCTGGCACGTACGTAGGGGTAGGCGAAGCGAGTGGTTGGAGAGCAGCTCGTACTTCGTCCTGTACTACCTTCCGCATAAATTCGGTGTCGCTCCGTTGGTTTGGGGCGACATCTGACGGTCGTGGTGTGCCGAAGTACGCCACAAGTTCCTGGCGGATGATTTGCCGAATTAATTGTGGGAGGTCGGACGCCGTTGTGGTCTGTGGGGACACTTCGGGCAGGCGTTCGAAGGGTGCCTTTGTTATGCGGGCGCTCTGCAACTCCTCGTACTTCTTGCACTCTGTAATGAGGCGCTGAACAGTTGGAGGGGATTTTGGAGCTACGATTGAGAATAGCTGGTGTGGTAGCCCTTTGAACAAATGCCGGATTTTGTCTTCTTCGGTAGTGTTAGTGTCGACGCACCGACACAGGTGAGGGACGTCCTCAATGCAGGACGTGGAGGACTCGGTTGTAGTTTGATACCTTCGGGCAAGTTTATCTTTCGCTTGTTGTTTGCGGCGTTCGGGTTTGCCAAATATTTCCGCGAAGCCGAATGGGAATCTGTCCTAGGAATTTATTTCTTCTTCGTGATTATCAAACCACTGGAGTGCGGTATCCTTCATGAAAAAAAAAAAACATTCGCGAGCTTGAGAGTATCGTCCCACCTGTTATGTAGGCTAGCCCTGTCGTAACTTCTTAGCCAGTCGTTGACATCGGCCTCTGGTGCTCCATTGAAAACTGGTGGATCTCGCTAGCGGTTCTTGATAAGCAGTGGAGCGGGTGGTCCGCCTCGTCCGGCATTGCGTTGTGCGTTGAACGTCCGCTGCGAAGCTCCAGGGCCGATCGCGATAGCACAGGAACCGAGAGGTTGGGAATCGTCTGCACCTCCACCACTTGCGAGGGTGTTTATGAGAGACGTATTTGACGAAATATATATATATATATTTCGCCAGCGACCGCAACCTCGGCAGTTGCGAAACGTGGCCGACCACGCCAGTACTCTGCATATGAACTGAGGGAACGAAAGATAACATTTATGCTTTCGCATTCCCAACTCATAAGAAAGCTGAGGTGTCCTCGGAATTATATTTCTTCTCTCTCTTCTTTTTCCCGGGTTTCTTCTTCATTCCGAAAGTGTTTTTTTTTTCCTTCTTCCGAGGGATTTTGGGTTGAGGGAAAAAACGGCTGAGGCATTGAAAGTGGCTTCGGTGGCATCATTAAATGTCGGATGCTAGTTGAAACAACTCTACTACGGTGAACTACAGGTCACTATAACTGTACTGTCTGTCCTCGTGCCCACATGTTTTATTGTTTCGTGCTTTTCAAATCATCTTTACCAACCCGCTCAAAGTTAATTTTCGTTCTCTGGTGGTCTGGAGGTTTCCGCGTCGAATTAAAACACTTTCAAAGCTCCGGTTTGGTAGTGTTCGAACAACACAATCTGTCGGCCTCGAAGATGTTGGCGGCCGGGAGTCAACTTCTGACGAGGAGAGGTGTAAACACGCGCTTTTATGGGTTCGTTACGAAAGCAGAAAAAAGAGGATGTTTTTGTTGACGTCGGGTTTACGATAGCACAACAGGGCTCCCCTATCAAGAATGATGGAAATAAAGCTATTATTATTATTATTATTAAGCTCCATTTAGTGAATGTTGATGGCGAAGAAAGGTTTTTGGCACATTTACTCAAATTCAAGCTTTAAACTCAGCAGATAATTGCGAAACGTGCTCATTCGTCGTTACGACGTTTGAACAGTATTTGGTTAGTCTGCCAGAGTATGGCAAAATTGTTGCACGCCGTAGATGAGAAATGTTTCCAGTGGAGTACGAATGCTAACCTGCGGTTTTTAGGGTGAGCCACGCAGTGCATAGCAATACACGAACTCGTAAAGATATATGATAATGATCCAGTTTGAACGGGCTGACGTGGAGGCTGAATCAAGGATCCCGGGGTTCTGCAGCTGGAGCCTCCAATTCACGTGCTCTTAGTTGTGGTGCATTAACACAATCAACTACTGACACCCCTTAAAATTGTTGCACTGCCCCTTTTGAACGATCTTGCCTGTTCATCAAAATAAAAAGGGCAAAGATATCTTTAAAAGTGCAATTTGTATTCTCTCCTCTATGAGGAGATACTTACTGTCCATCCGCCGCCATCGGTCTCCATGTCACATTCCACGTCTACTGGTTTGTCGCGAGGATAAATTGTATATTTTGTTTTCGTGCTGCTGCGTTCCCTCATTTTTATCTGGGAACAGCTTACCGTTCGATTTCCAGCTGAAAAAGAAAGGTGCGTAAAGCAGACATTACTTATCAAAGTTTCAAGGAGAGGGACTTCGTAAAAATCCGCCAGTGGTTCGGCCAGCGGTGCGGTACATCGGTTGTTAATTTATCACAAAATGTCAGACATGCGAAGTAAGCGACGCAGGAGAACTTTGCTAAAATTGCAAACATAAAAAACGCGGGTCTTGTATATTATTTCGCATAGGAAACAAACGCGCGCGTACACACAGACTAAACCCTTGAAACAAAGTTGTACAAAATACTCAATAACAGTATTTAAGTTACAAAATACCTGCTTCATAAAGTATTTAAACTACTACTCAAGTTACGTACACTGTAAAGTATATGGAGTAGAGTACAAACACTTGAAGATACATCCGCGTTGCGTAATTTTTATCGACGTGTATGACAAACACAATTATACAGTTGTGAAAATCTTGTTTACCAGAATGATTTATTTGCACGCGACAGCACAAAACGACAAAACAAAATCGTAGGGCTATTCTATGCAGTCCAGCTATAAGGAGCAGGAAATCACTGATACAAGTTACACAACATTTATGGGACAAAAAAAAGGTCGCTTTAGCTATAGTGGCATTGCTGAATATCACGTCCTGTGGCGCCCATTAGACCCATCGTTTGAGGGGACACTACCACTCCCCAACGTTTTTTAAAAGTTTGCCAGGGGATTAATATAGTGTCAGAAAACTACAGAATCAATATTTTTCTACAGCGTCACATATATTTTTAATGAAGTCAAAATGCGCAACTGCTCAAAACCAAAACCGAAACTGGATTGGGAGGAAGAAGATATATAGAGGAGAAAGTTACCGAAAGGCACGTGGATGTGCAACTTTTTTTTTTCAATCAACTTGTTTACAGTCTTTTAGAAGCTACGAAAAAAATGGGCATCATATTTTTGTCAACTCTTTGTATTGAGTGAGTGCCTTGAATGAGCCATAAATTTGATTATCTTTGGTGGTTGTGTCTAAACCATAGAAAACGGCACGTGTCCACGAAGAAGAGAGTGAGCGGGAATCAAACCGGCCACTTCTCGATCGGCGGTTTTCGGGTGGAAAGATAATTACTTTCGAGCCGCAAATTGTGTTTTGTGTAATTGAGGTTTTATATGTCATGTAAAAATAACAAATAAAAACCTTCGCCACCTTAAATACCCTGTCAGTGTTCCTTTAACTACAATTCATAATCCCTAAATGGGGAGTTCACTATAAACGAACACGGGATACTGAAATGAGTGAATGAAAACAAAGAGAGCCCACATATAATAGCCATGGCACTGGTCACACCTTCTTCAAGTCGGTTGCGTTCAGACAGAAAGGCACTCAACGTTAGGGTATGCTTTGCTGGCATTTTAAGAGGTCATCCTGCTCGCGGTTTGTTTCCTCCTGTTTTCTGCTTATCAATGTTCGCTCACAGACTGTTCGCGAGAGCAATGGGTGCTAGACTGACGGCAAAAAGAAAATAAATAACAAATAAAAAACATTGACGTTTTTCTGTAGCGGGGTCAAATATACAAAAAAAACAGTGTCTTCTTTTTATCTCCGTAGTATAAAAGAGTTGCAGTGTAAAAAAGTACTTTACATCAATACGTTATTTTTTTTTTTTTTGCATTAGGCAATAGAGGGCAGCATCTGCAATCAGCGAAACATGGAAAAATATGTCACACCTTCTGTTATTTAAACAATAAAGATTAAATCTAGCACTTTCACCGTCACATAATTAAGAATCAATAGCAAGAAAACGGCAAGGGATTGAACTCCATTGGCATGGGGTGGGAAGTTATTATATTATAGGTAGCAAAATATAACGACACCGAAAACCAGCAGGCTGTTTTGACGCTGTGCTAATTTGGCAAGTGCTCTTCTGTCACTGTGCTGTTTGAACGCCGTTTTGTTCTGACGCCGTGCTGTTGAGTCGCGTACTGTTTTGACGCGTCCTGTTCTGTCGCTGCGCACTTTTGATGCCGCACTGTTTTGACCTTGCTGTTTGCTGTTTTGTCGCGTGCTATTTTGTCGTGTGCTATTCTGTCGCTTTCCCGATTTTTCGGGAAACTTGGACGTCAGCGCACACGTTTTACAGCGGCGAGGCCCCGAAACATGGTTTTCAAACCCGGCGAGAAAAGAAGCGGCAGCTCGAGGAAAGCGAGGAGCACGAGCGGACATTCCATCGCTCGGGAGAAGTGTGTTTGGGCCAGACTTGTACACGTTACTGAAAAATAGTAACGAATTACATATACAATTACTCAAGGCTACATTGTAATTTATTACAATTACAATTACCCTTCCATGAAAGTAACTGACCGTTACCCCAAAATGTAATCCGTTACTTTCGTGGCGTTACTTTCAACATTATTGTCCTCAAGTAAGAAACAAAGCGAAGAGGGTTATTCAAGTTCTTATTCTTGCCACCTGTTCCATTTAATGACCTTGAGTATTTTGAGCAACAGCTGGCCCTCGAAAGTCTCGTCAGGCATTTTGCGTTATTTCTTACTCAATATGTCGACTGCTACGCTGAACACCATTTGAGCTGAGGCACTGGATGGGAGTGTTATATTGTTCCTCACGAATGCTTCATGCTTTGCATTGAGCTTTTTCAGCGAAGCAAGGGAAGTACTACTTACCTCGAATGTAGAGCAAAGCTTCGTCGTTGCAGGCGTTGCCTGCTATTCGAGAGATTTAGTAGATCCTTCCGATACCTCCGATACCCGCGATAACGATATGATGCATACGCAAAGACGGTGGCGAAGTATCGGATATCGTTATCGGAGTCATCGGACCGATCTAAATTCTCCATTGTCTAAATCGCGAAGCTGTGGAAGTCATCAATAGCAAAACATAGTTGTAACAGTAAGGTGATAACTAAATAATAAATAATGTTTGGCTCGATATTCTTCTCCTTTGGTTCTGAACAGTTCGAGCCTAACTTGAGACGTTGGTGAATAAAAGAATGTTTCCAGTATATAAATATAAGTAATAAAAGAAAAAGGACACTCATAACAACAATTAATTAGAACGTCGGTTAAAATAAGGAATTGTAAACGCACGTTTGCCGTGTGTACCTTTCTTGGCGCCGTTCAAAAACGCACGGGGCACGAACCGACTGCAGTTCACTCCGGTGTTCTCCAGATCGACGTCCGCTGATGCCAAGGGCAGCAAAGGGTAGAAGTAAGCCGCGCTATGGCCCCACTCACGAATTTCACTCTCTCCTCAAGCCCAGAATATCAAGTCTACGTCAGCCACCATAATGTTTTTTTTGTAAAAATATCTGCTTGAGATAAGATGGGCCCTGCTGGGGCAAAACAGGAAGAAGGGATGACTATTACCATTTTCTAAGTTCTCGCAAAAAGCTGACTCACAGAAAGGGTAGGGTAGACGGAGCGTTGTCTCGTGTTGTGACATTATGAAAATGGTCGTAGAAGGACATTGTTAATTCTTTTCAGTGCATTTACCACCTCGAGCTTCTCGAAGAGGCGCACAATCACTTGGTGTCCTCCCCTCCCCGTCTTCGATCGCAAAGAAAAAACAGAGGGACTAAAAAAAAGCGGAAATACCTGGCCCCCTCCGCCCTCCCTCCCCCCCCCCCCCCTTTTTTTTATGTAGAAATGTTTATTTTGATTTTTCGACATTGTTGTTAGGGTCTAAAAAAATAGGTTCAGGGGCTTGATGTTGAAAAAAAAAAAAAGGCTTTGCGGAACTGAACTGCCAAGCCTCCCTTGCGCTGGTCAATTCGCGTGATAGTGAAACTGCGCTCGACTTTACAAAAATGAAAAAAAAAAGAAGCACTTTATTTAGAAGGGGAGGGGGGGTTGGTTCTGACAAAAAAAATGTAACGGATTACAAGGAATCCGTTACGTCAAAAATGTAAGGGAATTACTTTAAAATTACTCTAGAAAATATGTAATTATTCCGTTACTAAATTACTGACAAATATAAGGGATTACAAGTAATTTCGTTACTTGTAACGGATTACGTACAAGTCTGGTTTGGGCGTCTCGCCGCAGCGAGGCGCCTGTCACGTGGCTTTCCTCTCATCCGCTGTCTGCTGCCCTACCTTTTCAATTTCCGCGGCCGCTTCTCGTGGCTATCTGCCAGGCTTTGTCAGTATAGAGAAGGATATCCTTTGAGACATGGACTTCTAGCGCGAGAGCTCTATCTGCAGAACAGCGCTTCAAAGCAGCGACCTTGAGCTCTCGTGCTTTTACCATTGGCCGCAGTAAAAGCTTAAGGGTGAACGGATCGTAGGGGGTATTCATTGGCGGCCATAGTTGTATGCGCGACTGCTGAGCGCGTGCTGACGGTGAGCTTCCGCAGTTCTTTTGCAACTTGAATTCTGCATCATCAAGACTGCCGTTCTTAGCAGCCTATTATTGTGAGCTCGTTCTCAGCATGCCCTCCTAACATGGCACACAAATATGTCGTCCAGCGAAGTCAGTCAGCACCGCAGAGAAGAGCTCATGTTGACTCGCGTCGTGATTCTTTCTTTCCGGTTATTATCGGCCACTGCCGCAATATAGCTTTCCAGGGGAACCCAGGAGACCTTGCAACGAAGAGAATTCTGGGGCTGTTCGGACGTACGCCCGTGCCAGACCTGAACGCTTTGCATATCCTGGTGGCGGCACTATTCATTCTTTCCTCTCATTAAAAGCTCACAACACACACAAAAAAAAATAAAGCGAAGAGAAAAGAATGTTATCACTTACTCTGTCTTGCTTTGATAAGAAGAAAAAGCAGCCGACGAGAACGGACGTATTTTTGGCGTTCCCGATATGCTCGGCCCCAAGGAACGTTTATGACTGCCTAATCCAGTTCTAAACTCAACGTGGATTGTCGGGGGGGGGGGGGGGGGGAGGGAGGCAACCCCGGGGAACCCGAATGAGGTGAGCGGCACTTCCAGCGTTTTTTAGACAAACCCATGGCAATATAAAGAGATGGACATGAACGCCGGTTGTCAAGATGGGCTCACCGCCACTGCCG